CCCCCCATCAGCCCAAGGTCCCCTTATCTCACTCCTGACACGGCCAGGACCAGCTGGAACCCCATGGGTGCCGCAGGCTGGGACAGGGGGCAGATGTCACYRGCGCTGCCAATGTCCTTGGATAACYCCACATYCCCACMYCTGGATGTCACCACATYRCCACACCTCATCCYTGYTCARTGCCACCAGCTCTGGTGGCAACCACGTGCCCAGGGTCACACCCCACTGCCCACATTCCTTCCCCCACTCCAGCCGCCACCACAGACATGCCCATCCCACAGCTGCACCACAGCACCCAGCACTTAAGAAATATAATATTTATTTGGGATTAAATTAAAAAAAACATAACACACCCCCTATACTGCCACTTGGGGGACACCGTGGGACAGATGTGGGTCTTTACAGCCACCCACAAACACAAGAGCCTCAATGACCAATGGCAGCCGCTTGTGGCCACCACGTTCATCCTGCCAGGCCGAATACAACATGAAAAAACATAATACAGTCCCATGAGCCAGCAGCTGCCTTTCTGTACGTCTTTGACCAAAATACAGAGAGACCCAGCTCCTGGGGGGCTCCATGCCAGGGGGCTGGGCACTCACCCCCAGCATCACACACACACACACACACACACACACACACACACAGAGCCCCTTGACCAGCACTTGGCTTTGTGATGGCTTTTTGTCACTGGTGTCACACACGGCAATACCAACAGACACCGAGCCAGCATGGCCACCACAACACCCACCACGGCCACCTGGACAAGTCCCCATCCTGCAAACCACAACACACGACAGTCTGGGCACAGGYGTCCCAGGGACAGGCGCTCTGGACACGGCTCCCCCGGGACTCAGCAGCAGCAGCAGCCCCYGGTGCAGCTGCGGGCAGGGAACAGGGTGCTGTGCAGGGTGGGGGGCACGCTGGGGAGGTGGGGGGCAYGAACAACACCTACAGACACCACAGCAAGAGGGGAGGGGGAGCTGRGGCCGGCTGGGCTCTGCCAGCGAGGTGGGCGCTGCACTGAGCCCGTGCCAGGACCCTGCTGGCAGCCCGGGTGGCACAGCTCGGGCAGTGTGCCTGGCACAGCTGGCACGCGGCACAGGCGGCGTCACCGGCCGGGCACCGCTGACCAGTCCTGCCCGGCCCCRTCACTGCGTGAAGGTGGACTGCAGCTCCTTGAAGGCCGCCTTCCTCTGCTTYAGCTCCTCTGCCTGCTTCTTCTTCTCCTCCTGCTCTGCCTTGATCTCCTCCTCAAACCTGCTGGCTTCGTTGATGGCTTGTGCCTGTGGATGGAAATGTCCAGCTGTGAGCCCTGTCAAGCTCTCCTGCCCATTCCAACACTTCCACCTCCTGCCCGCCAATCACCCACCACCAAACCACCCCGCAGCAGGATCCCCTGTGCCCTGGCACCTGTCTCACCTTGGCCTCAAAGAAGTTCTTGGCGCCTTTCACTCCCTCTGTGGAGACATCGATCTCGGAGAGCCGGGCCAGGGCGTGCAGCCCACTGTCCTCCTGTAGCTCACCTGCCGCTGCCTTCCGGAAAATCAGCAGGAACTGCCGGGGGAGATGGCACCATTGGCTCCCTGGAGACCCCAGAGCCACCACAGGCACTGCCCACCTTCTCACCAGCAGGAACAGTGGCTGGGGACATCTCCCTCCCGGCACAGAGCCTCCTAGCTGGACCCCTCACCTCTCGAAAGCTGAGCTTGCTGTCCAGGTCTTCATCCACCTCCTTGATCATGTTCTTCAGTCCCAAGTGCGTCTGTGGAGCKCCCAGCTTCTCCATCATCAGCTTCAGCTCCATCAGGTCAATGAAGCCGTCTTTCCCTGCGTCGTACCTGCAGGATGGAGGCACGATCGTGACCCATCGCCACGGGGTGCAGGGCMCACAGCCCCCACGCTGACCCCTGACTGCAAAGCCCCGTGTGCCCTCACACTGGCCAGGAAGGGAGGAGGGATCAGCAAGGCCCCGGGCAGTGCCGGTGTCCGGCAGCTTTCCAGACCGCAGGGAAGCTGTGGCTGAACCGCTAACAGCCCCCTGGAGCATTTTCAAGGATCACGCCTGTTTCYGTGCCGCACTTGGCAGGAGCAGCTGCCGGGATGCTGCCAAACCTGCTGCCAGCTCCCTGTGCCAGCAGCCTGAGCACATGCTCCCCTTGGCTGCAGCACAGGCTAACAGGCCATGAGGCCAAGCCCACAGGGCACTGCTCCCYGTGTCACCACCTCCTCCTCACTGTGACACAGCCAGGTGACCCTCCCCACTGCCCCAAGCCTGTGGCATCCATGCTCCAGCCCTGGCCAGGCACCTGGGCTTGGCTGAGAGCCCCGGGCACAGCTCTGCTCACTGAGCTACCTAAGGACCCGTCAGGAATGCCCCACAGACTCCTGCTTGTGGCCATGCCACCGTCCCCTCCAGCCCCCACGCTGCCCTGTCCCCTGCCCGCTGCCTGCACTGTGCTGGCAGCACGCTGGCAGGGCACAGCRGGATCTCAGCGGGGAGCCAGCACAGAGCCACACTTTGTACAGCTCCACACGCTGAWGGTGGGCAGCTGCACACTGCACCCGTGGTGACAGGGCTTTCTGTTGTGCCTTGTCACTGCAGCAGCCACGCAGAGCCCCGGCTCCCCGTGCTGCAGGTCTGTGACTCATCTGTACTTTCCCTGCCGCTGTCTGCTCTGTCTGTGGCTCCAGCAGCACCTTCCTCATCTGCCAGGAACCCGAAATGGGGCTGGTCCTGCTCACCCCTGCTGCCATCACTCTCAGAGTGCCACTGTGGGCACAGACCCCACATGATTTCTTCCTCCAACAACCCTCTTGGAGCACAGGGTCATAGAATCATGGAATGGTTGGGGTTAGAAGAGACTTTAGAGACCTTTAAAGGCCATGGGCAGGGGCACTTTCCACTATCCCAGACTGCTCCAAGTCCTGTCCATCCTGGCCTCGGACACTGCCAGGGATCCAGGGGCAGCCACAGATTCTCTGGGCACCCTGTGCCAGGGCCTCCCCACCCTCACAGGAATGAACTTCTTCCCAGTATCCAAACTAACCCTTCCCTCTGTCCCTTGCAAGTCTTTCCCCCTTTTCCTGTCACTCCATGTCCTTGTCCAAAGTCCTCCATCCTTCATCCCACAGTTTCTCTACAAGTGGTGAGTTACCCAGCCTAGCTTTGCCACTCCATCCCATGCAAGCCACCTCCCCAGCTGCAGGGCAACTCCTTGCCCTCAATCCCCTCCCTCTATTTTTTTGGGATACCAGCATCCTTCCSCATCTCCCAAAGGGCACCATCTCCCCTGTGGAGAGCAAAACCCCTTCCACGCAGCACTTTCTCCTCTACAGCCGGATTGTCACATCCTGAGGACAGCAAGCAGCAGTGGCGACACTGTGGCAGTGCTCTGCTCCGCATCATCCTTCCCTCGGGAGAACCCCCGGCTCCCAARGCTCCCCAGCGCCTCGCAGCCCCGGCGCTGCTCCTTTCGCTGCAGMGACACGCCGCAGCTGCCAGAGCAAACACGTCTGCTCCGCACGCCGCTCCCTCGCCTGCGCGGCGCCGACACCCGCCCCGCCATCTGCGCCCRGAGCCGCGGCCACCCATCGCCTCCGGCCCCCGGAGCTGTCACCGTCCCCCCCGCGGTCCCCGAGCACCGTGTCCCCGCCGCGGGCTCCCTTCTGCGGCAGCGCACGGCTCGCAGCAGCCTGGCTCGCTGCCATGTGGGGGACAGTCCCCTGGGGAAGACACGGGGAACAGGGGGGTCCCTGCACCGCCAGAGCTCTGGCAGGGTGTGCCCGRACCCCACGCAGCCCCCCGACCTTGCGTTTCGGCGATCACCGCCTCCAGCTCCCCGCTTCCTCCATCCCCCGGCCGCGTCCGAGCGAGACCACCCGGGACGCGGATGCGGATCCTCCCCCCTCTGCCAGACGGGATGAGGGACATTGGCATGTCGCAGCCATGCCAGCATCACGACTCCACGCTTGCCGGAGTCCCGCTGCCTGCACGCCTCCCGCACAAAGCACGCAGCGCGCCGCGGGAGCCATGGGGATGCTCCGGGCTGTCCCGTTGGCCCCTGGCGACTCCCGCGCACACCAGCGTGGCCGCGGTTGRAGTCACCCCGATTTCTGGCTGGGTGTCACCCCCTGGAAATTTCCAGGGCTGGAGGCTCGCTGCCAGCTCCCCCCCTTCCCCGGGGCYGGGGGCCGAGCTCGTGCTCCGAGTCACGCTCGCCACGCGTGGTGGCACGCAGCGCGGGCAGGGATGCTGAGGACACAGCAGCCTGGCCTCTGCGGCCCCCGGGGGATGCAGGGGTGTGGGATCTCTCGGTGATGCGKCAGAGGGAATGTGGGGGTCCCCGGTCCCCTCTCTCAGCTCCCTTTCTCTGGCCTCAGCAGCAGGGTACTCATGGGGGACAGAAGGCTCGTTCTGCAGGAATTCAGGGGTGCGCAGGAACGTCTCCTGCAAGGAACCGCGGGAAGGTGTCCCCGGATCAGTTCTGTGAGGGGCTTTGGGAGGAGAGGGCTGTCCCTGGCATCCCTGAGAGGGGCAGGAGGGACATCCCTGCTGCAAGGAATCGGAGGTGCCCTGGCATCCCCGCTGCACCAAGCTGGGGTTGGGGGGAGTCTCCGACACGGAGACGGGGGATCCCTCCCGCAATAGGCTGGGAACGCACGGGGGTCCCTCTCGCAGGGACTAGGGGGGTCCCGCCCGCAGGCACGGGCGGGAGGCGCTGGAGCACCTGCCCTGCAGTAGCCGGGGTACCGGGGATGCAGGAACCGGGATGTCAGGGGTGCAGGATGGCCGGGGTCCCCCGCCCGCCCCGGCGCTGCCACCCGGGAACCCTCCTCTCCCTGTCCCCCACACTCACTGTCGGAAGAGCCGTTCCATGTCGCGGAGCTGCCGCCGGGAGAACTCGCGGAACTCCCCGGCGGGGCTGAAGACGCGGCGGCCACCGCCCCCGGGCGAGCCCTCGCCCACCGCCCG